CATACAAAATATCTTTCAATGAGTCTCAAGTCACAGTATGAACTCTGGAACATCTATTATTAGACTATTGATTTTTTTTTTTTTTCCCATCAGATAAATTTAAAAAGTTAAATAAAACATGGCTGTACAAAAATGGTACATGTAGCTCAATTTCTTAAGTATCTTACACAATGGGAAAAGAAGCTGAGGCTTGGATTCAGTAACTGGTGTATTCCCAGTGTCAGGCATAGGACACTTCAACTCACAGATGACTAATTAAAGGAACAAGAAAAATAACTATAACCTGGAAATGCCCTGTAAAATGAATCCTTATGTTAAAAATAAAGATGCACTGGAAGAAATCTGAGAGTAGGTCTTGACTTCCTGTCTAACAAGGAATAAATGGGAACTATATAAACAGAATTTAGCTTTCGTATTTTGGGCCAAAGTAAAATAAAAAGATGTGACAAGCTGCTTTTGTTTAAGAGGTTAAACTGACAGTCACAGTTGCAGCTGTGTTGCCACTTACAGGAAAAAGCATATTCTTCCTTCCATTGGTGCAAAACAGTTACATGGAAATGACCTGTATTAGACTAGATGTCTGCTTTAGAATGGTCATCATTCGGTATCTACTAGCTGCTTGAGTTTTATATTAAATAAATCTTCTGATATGAACGTCCCCAGTATGCAGTGTGAGAATCTTGATGTGCATTGGCACCAAACTGGAACTCTCTAGTTTCATTTAGTAAAAATCTCTTTCATCTCAGACACAATACCCCGTGTATAACATGGAACTTGGATTTTAGCTACTTGCTGCCATCACAGACCAGCTCTTTTCTGCAGTAGAGTTCCCTAGATACATCAGGCCAATTGGCTCACATAAAGCTGGTTGGTGTGAGTGTAGCTGGACCTGAGTGGTACTGACACTATTTTTCCTGTGAATGAAACATAATTGCATTGATGGATATCTTTCCAGTTACCATTTTAGTGTTTTGATTAGTTCAAGTCTTTCTCTAGATAAGAGCATTAATCCCATAGATGAATACACTTCTCTTTACAGAATTTTTGACTCTTAATTTACTCAATTTTTTTTCAAAGCTCCTCTAATCTATCTGATATCCGATATGCATGCTATTTTATCCCAGCACTTAAATAAAAAAACATCAGTAAACATGACAGGAGATTACTTCATGCAAACATGTTCATAAGACAGCCCAGTAGAAGCTGTCTTATGAGAGAAAACAAAAGAAATTGAAGTTAGGCTGTCACCAACCCCTGCAGATCAGATTTCAAAAGATGAGTCTGCTTTTGCTTGGTGCTCTAACCCGAAATAATTATAGGCAGTGTTAATATAAATATTATGGAAGGAATAGAAGGAAAATTATTTCTGATGAAAAGGAAACTGCTTTGGATACATTTTTTAAATACTGCAAGACCAGCTCTTTTGCTTATTAGAGTGGAAATAAACAGCAACAACGAACAAGCAGGAGTCCAGCAACTACATTCACGAAAGCTGAGCATAACATGGTGTTTACAGCTTCATATTTATTTTGAACCATAGGCTTTCAGTTTTCAGATGTTGTCTGTGCTATGCAAATTAAGCATGGTTGTAAAAGAAGAGTGCTTGTATAAGGCAATCTAATATGGTGGCATCTGAATTTAATGTTATGTATCTAAAGCTTCTTATTGTTTTTGAACGAGTTGTTCCATGCATGTTTTTACTCTGGATGGTACTGTTTAGTTGCTGACTGACCACATACTTCAATTGCTTTATGTAATTCTACTGACAAGGTGGCATGTGCCTCAATACCCAAATCAGCTGCTACATTAAAGCAGGATGCTTTGTTTCTATTTGAGCATGCTCTCTGTGCCTGTAGTGCTTGATGTTGGTTAACTGCATGAAGAACTTTCCATGTACATATTTTCTTGTAATGTTGTGTGGGGCTCAGCAGTCTCTGTGGTCTTTTCATCCCTTAGTTTTTAGACTTAGACTCAGCATAGGAACAGAACGGAAGTAAATTTATTTATCCTTCAGCGTGACCTAGAGATAGCAAGGTGAATTCTTTCACCGTCTCCCTAAGAAGTATTGAAGAAGGGAGGCTGAAAAATGCTTGCAACAGCTCATCTGGAGCTTCCTGTTATTTATGAGTCTTCACTCCTCATCATCATATGCGGAACAATTTGGAATCGAAAAAAAATCATAAAGTGGAATGGATGGAATCTAGTAGCTGTTCAGTAATGCTCTGACAAATACCCTATAATAACTGGGGAACTGGAGCATACTGCATCACAAATGTAGCAAAGTCTCCCATCCCATGTGGTGCATACCTGGACTACTGGCAGAGCTTCCAATCCAAGCCCAGGCATGTGCAAACCATCTCTGGCTGAAAGCTCTGGTCTATTACCTATCCCATTGTCAAGGTGAGGTCTGCTAGCTTAGGGTGAACAAAAGTGATACAAATAGATATTGCTAATGGAGAACTGCCATATAATTTTTCCTTTATTATTTGAGGAGAAAATGAAGATAAGTACACGTGCTTGCAGTCAGTGTATGTGGAGCACTATATAAAGCACATGAACACTAGAGTCTCGTAAATCTGGGAGGTATGACTTTTTTAATGAATTAGAGAGACTCTTATCGGTGTACCATTTTTCTGCTTTTGCTTCCTGCAGCAGGAAGTTTTTTAACTCAGCATTCAGCAGTACTATGCATAAGAGGGATGTTTTAGCTCTAATGGGCTGGAAATAACATGCTGCTGAATCTATTTCATGCCAGAGGTTTTGCAAAGGAAAACATTAATATAATAATTCACTCTGCTGTTGCCATCAATTTGTTCTTTCTCAGTGAATTGTGTATATGCAGTTTGCACTTGTTTATTTTAATTATTTCTGAGTGTTCCAAAGTTTGTCTTTGCTTTTAGAACTAAGGTCAAATATCTTTATACAAATCCAATCAGCTATTTGGTGTGTGAAATTTTGCCTCAATGTCATTTGCTATTATGGCACAATAAAGTCATGAAGATGTGGAAAAAATACATCTCCAAGTCCTGAATCACATCATTTGGATTTTGACTATTTGGGGAAAAAATGGAGCCCCTGTGGAGCTCTTCTGAGTTGAATACAAAAATTAAAATTGCATCTGGTCTTCTCTTATAGCTATTATTCTGAAAATAATAGTAACGTTTTTTGCTGTGAAAGCAATTTTCATCTTGTATTTATGGATGCTAAATAATTAATCGCTGTTGCAACCAGATATTAATATCCTCTTCCTTCTGGCACTGTGCAAACTGAGGCCCCACTGCTGTTCCAACCCTCCACATCTTCTGTTGAGGCTCCTCTGTGTTAGCTCAGATCTCTTGCTAAAATCACCCTTGTTTAAAGATCAAGGTGCTGTGAGATCAGTATAGATTATGTTTTTTGCTATTAGCCTGAGTTGCATTTTCTATTTCCCAGAAGTTCGTAATGCATCGTTCAACAGATGTCACCATTTGCCATGCTGCTGAATAACCCAGCAGCATGCAGAGCCTAACTCCCCACTCAGAAGCAGAGAGGTAAAAGTAAAAATCACTTCTAGGATAGAGCTGAGACAAATTTGTTCACTTTTGTTGCCTCTGCATCAGAAATGTTGGCAAATGGGAGAATAGTGAGGATCAGCAGAAGAGTTTAAAGGACTCAGGTGACTGATACAAGTAATAAAATAAAGCAAATGAGAGCATAAAAACATTTTCAAGGTTTTCTGATTAAAAGAGGCTGATTGCTTTAGGTGCATGATGGAGTGACCACTAGATGAGTGTTCTTGAGATGTTGCTCTTTGTTACTCCATCTGAACTTGGGTGACTCCAGCCAAGAAGTAACCAACTACATGTTGCTCACTGACAGTGCAAAAAGTCATGTGTTTTATCCGTAGCAGCTCAGTAGAAATCAGTCAGAGTTAAAGTCATATCTCATGTTTCAAAGTTGGGCCAGTTTCTTTTTTCCTGACTTGTTAGAAATAAATATCTTAGAAATAAATTGAATACAAGTTGATTCACAGAGTTGTCTGTAGTTATCTAGAAGGCAGAAACACAAAGAAACTGTAACAATTTTTATGAAGGATATAATTTAGTGTAAGGTCATTGTTTTCCCACATACTTGAAAAGCAAAAAACACAGTATGAGCAGATAGAGCAGCTTTTCAAGGCTGGAACCAAAACACAATGTTTACTTTTGAGCATCATTTCCAATCCTGTATGATAGAAATTACCCAGGGCACTGCCATCTCTTTTGTCCTTGTATTATCATTCTAGGTAGGAGATTGCCAAGTAGGACACTTGTGTAGATTATGTAATTTTGTCCCACTCATAAATAGGACAAACACAGGAGTCTCTTTTACAGCCCTATTCATGATGACTTTTGCTGTCTGTGTTGTTCTAGCTAGGGAGATGCTTGCTTTCATTATTCACCAGGACTTTGTTACTTTTCTTCCAAAACCTTTGTGTTTCTTCTCTGTAAGTTTATGAAGCCTTATACATGTGCACAAGATTATATTTGAATGAAATCTCTATCACAGAAACAAAGGAATATGCTTTATTATGAAAAAAAAACCAGCTTTCTTCCAGGAACCTTGCTTGGAGGTATTGCATTGCCTTGATGTTCGGCATTTCTTGCGACAAGAGATTTAACCCCTGAAGCAAATATCAAACCTGTATAAAATGTCAGTTCTCAGCTGGATTCACCTGATTCCAAGCCTCATCTTTTGCTTTACTTGCCTGGGTGCCTCTGCAGCACATCGCAGTGCCCACTGTGCCTTCCTATGGGGCTGCTTGGGCAGTGATTTGGAGGATGCCCCTGATCTCTACCTGGCTGCAGGATCTCCCCCAGATGGCACACACTCTGCAGCCTGAGCAGGGAGGGCAGCCTGTGCTCCAACCCAATGCATGTGCTGTGCCCACCACAGGAAAACAGTCTGTGAGAGGCGCAGAATTTTTGCTTCAAAATATAAAATGCAGCTTGCACTCATGTGTAAATTGTTTCTCTTTGCAGGGATATATAGTTGATGAAAATGCAGCCATGCAAGCCCGGTGGGAAGAGGCATCTAAAGAAACAATCAAGAAAACAACCAAGCCATGCCCCAACTGCCACATTCCAGTGGAAAAAAATGGTAAATTTGTTAAATAACTGGTACTTAACTGTCATATAGAATTAATGTTACAACATATATATGTATGAATGAGCATGCGCGCATATGCATGCTATTATGACAAGAGAGGAAAGGCACAAAGCTTGAATGTTCTCTCTGCCACTTTATTTAGGTTATCTTGAAAGCAGTCACTTAGTTCTGAAGCCACCAACTAGGCCTCACAAGACACTCATGAATGTGATAGACAAAGAAAATGTTGCAATGGCTGTAGCATTAATATGACTGAATGCCCAGTTAGTTTTGGAATGGAAAAAAATAGACAATTACAGGGCAAAACTCATCTCACACTGAAACAAAGCACGAGTCTGATGAGGTCCAGAAGATTCACATCTGAAAGTCGAATGTAGGAGAATTAGATCTGGTATAGATGTCTAGACAGCTGAGTTGAAATGAAATGAATCTCAACCCATTGAAATGCCCACGGTAGAAGATCAAGTCTGAGGAAGAAATGTGAGTCTTAACAAACTGCTTACACTGATCACCTGTAGGGTGAAAAGTAATCTATTAGTAGTGGATTGGTTAAAGCAGGGAACAGGAAAAGCAAATAGGCTACATTTTATAGAATGTGGTGTTCCGAGATTTAATTGTATTAAGGTGAATTAATCAAAATACCTTAAAATCAAAATACCTAAGTATTTTGCATGAATATTGAGTATAGAGATTTCTTCTCCATTTTGCAGCATCAGTTATACAAATGAGACTTTGAAAATGCTAAATGAGACACTGTAAACTGTAAGGAGAAAACATTTGAAGCAGTGATACTATGGAAATATTACTGAGGAAGAAATAGGACAAAATCCTGAAATCTGGGGTATAGAAAGGAAAAGAAGGTAGCTGGCAGATGGAAAGTGGGAGATTTCAAGCACAAGGAGCAGAAGGATTGAAAGCATGAATTCAGGAGTGGGAAGGGGAGATAAGATTTGGCAAAGTGTAGTGAGCAAGGTAGGCAGCAAAAGAGAGAGAACAGAGGAGTAGGTCAGAAAAGTTATTTACAGGCTTATAAAATGAGCTGGAAAGCCAGAAGGTTAAACTGGGTTACAAATAGGCAGAAATTGTGACTGTTCATACTTACGGTATGTGAATACACAAATAAAAAACCTTCTGGTTAGGCTGGAAGCAGTGCTAGAAGCTTTACTTTCTCCTACACTGTGTAACTTCATTGTTAATTTATAGGCAGTTGTTGTAACACATCATAAATTGAATATCCCTATTTGACACTATGATATAATTTATATAATTCCAACTAGGGAAACTGTTTATAAAAACTACCAGTGTATCAAAAAATAAAAAATAAAGGCCTTTACATTTTTTTCCCCTGGAAGAAAATAATTATTTAAAACAGATTGTAAGCAGGAACTGACCTTTCCTTGCTTATGGCCTGACCCATGACAGAACAGTGCCTCATAATGCAAAATGCCAAAGACACAGAAGCATGCTAGAAGTATTTTAGTGTGCTGGAACCAGTTGGTAATGCTGCCATTCAGAAGGACCTTGACAGGCTGGGAAATGTGCTGAGTAGAACCCCATGAATTTCAACAAAGGTAACTGCAAAGGTCCTGAGCCTGGGGAGAAATAACACCATACACCAGTACAAGCTGGGGACCAACTGGCTGGAAAGCTTTATAGAAAAGGACCTGAATGTCCTGGTATACAAGCTGAGCATAAGCCAGCTGTGCCCTTGCAGCAAAGAAAGTCAGCTGTATCCTGGACTACATGAGGAGGAGCATAGCCATCAAATCACAGGAGGTGATCCTTCTACTCTGATGAAACATGTCTGGAGTAGTAGGTCCAGTTCTGAGCTCCCCATTTAACAAGTGGATATAGCAGAACAAGGCCAGTGGAGGTGTTACAGAGGCAATTAATTTAGAGGAAGGAGCATGTCATGAGAAGCTGTGAGAGTTGGCTCTGTTCATCCTGAAGGCTGAGGGGAATCTTAGTAGTGTGCATAAGTACCTGATGAGAGTGGTAAAGAACACAGTCAGACTCCTCTCAGTAGTGTGGAGTGAAAGGACAAGAGGCAATGAGCCCAAATCCAAATGCAGTGATAAAATGTATATGGAAACGCTTTTCACTGTGAGGGTGGTTGAAGTCTAGGACAGGCTGCCCAGACTGGTTGTGAAGTCTCCATTCTGAGATACATTCAAAGCCTGACTGGGCATAACCCTAAGCAGCCTGCTTTAGTTGACCCTTCTGTGAGCAGAAGGAGGTTGAGTTGGATCATCTCCCAAGGTCCCTTCCCACCCCTGTGATTCTTTGAATTAAGGCTGAAAGGTTGAAAGATGCAGTGCTTGTTGTCTTCTCTGATAATGGGTACTGTATGTTCCAGCTTCCAGACTGACATTTGTAAACTGCTGGCAGCCCATGGTTTCCCATGTAACAATACCGTGGTGATAGTATTGATGTGTTTCACTGAGTCAGAAGATAAAAAGGCACCTAATGTCTTCTAACAAAATACCTTTGTTAATTGCATTCTCTCAAAATACATACTACTTTTAAATAACAAATTTTCAAAAGAGAATGGTATCTCAGCATTTAGTTTAGTTGTACTCCCCAAAAAGTTGTAGTCGTGCACAAATGACAGATTTTCAAACCACCACTTACAAACCAAACTTGTGCCTGCTTGTTAGTGAAAACTTGTTAACAGCTATGAACAAAAATGATTAATGTCCTTGAGAAGTCAAACTGACAAGACTTCCTGGGAACTGCAGTAGTCTCCTTGCTTCTCTGAAAGAACAAAAAGCCACGAGGTCCTCAGTGGGCCTGGCTGCTGTGAGGCTGTGGTTCCATTGGCAGTCTAGAACTGGTTGGGAAAGGTGTACAAGTGTTCTGGTAAAATCATGCTTGCAGAAGGTATTCTGGGGAGGATTGTTGTGCAGAACAGCTTAGTCTCATCTGGAGTCAGGTAGCCTTTGGGCCATGCTGAAAAAATCCAGTACGATGAACTGGGGTAACCTGCTGTCAGCACCTGCTGTGAGCAGATGCTGCTCAGCTGCCCTGAGTGGCTCTAAAATTCCCAAAGCTCCTGTGTCTTCCCAGTGCCTTCCCACCTCAGTGGTCCCGTGAATTAAGGCACAAAGCATGAAAAATGCAGTGCCTCCTTTCCTCTCTGGTAAAAGGTACTGCACATTCCAGCTTCTGGGCTGGCTGAAAGGAACACTTTGCATCTCCCTGAGTACAGCTGGTGTCAAGAGACTGGTAATTATGTATGGAAATCTGCCAGCTGTCCACTTCTGGGAGGAGCACTCTGACTCCACACAAGAGAATAATTCTGCTTTCCCTCCCCAAAGGTTTCAGTGGCCCTTTTTTTTCAAGGGACAGTGGCAGTGCTGTATTTCTTTGTGCCCATAACTTTTCTACAAGAGCCTGTATTTCTACAGGCCTTGTAGAATCCTTCTAAGTGCCAATAACTTTTCTGCAGAGCCAACATGAAAGAGCAGAGCACTGTCCCACAGCTCTGTTGTCAGTCTGAGTGAGTTTAAATACACATCTGTGTCTCTCAGAGGACTGCTGTTCTCACAGAGCTGTGGGCTACATTGCTTGAGGCACTCTGCACACTTACTGCTTATCTCAGCAGCTGGATAGCAGAGAACTTGATTGATATAGCTTAGCAGGTAGAACACATGCTTGACACAGAGTGCCTATTGGACTCTAGTTCCTGCACGAGGATTGAGATGCATTTCATCCAGCTATGGATTAATATGAATTGTAAGAGAGGATTGGCTCCAAACTTTAAGTAAAATGTATTGTGGAGGCTGGCCATCAGTACACTTAGATTTAAATAAGATAGAAAAGTCCAGTGAATTGCATCTCTTACATAAATACAAAATGTTTGATATGTTGAGTAGACCTTGCCATCACAGCTAGTTTTTCTCCCACTGACAAATGAAGCAGATTGGCCTATTTTAACAGATCAGTTCTTGTGTCTGTTGTTTTTACCTTCTGGAGTGGCATTTATAGGAAAGGTTTTGTAAGGGTAGCAGGTCATACAGTAGGAAACACACACTGCTTGTACATCCTATCACCATCTGGAGTCACACTGAGATGACATTTCAGCACTTCTTACTGCATGATTTTCGTTCTGTTTGAATTATACAAGAGATTTCTTTGTGTGGTGAGCAACACAGTTTCTATTTGAAGTATATTTTTTAATGACCTTTGACAATGTTAATGTTTTATACATTACAAACTAAACATATTATCATCAAGGCTGTGAGCAGAGAGATTAAAGCTGCTCTACAGTATGGGCAAGTAAGAAACCTAACACAAAGGAAACATTGATGTGATCAAAAGACTGCTTCAGATATTAAGAAGGTCAAGTCGACTTAAATTACTAATGCCATTTTTATATAATCGGCAGTCAGCCATTAAAATTTGTCTCCTGATTTACTCTTTGCAAATCCCTCCAACATTGAATCGAAATTTTAAAAAATATAAACATTGGTTCAACTTCTGGCTCATGACTCTACTAGCATAGATTACTCTGGAGCAGACACCTCCATGAGTGTTTCTTTTATAGCCTGCCATTCTGTTCTGTGTCCCTTGCACAGTCTCTCCAAATGTCAGACAGTACTATAGTTCCTACTTTTGCAGTCCCTCAAACACCACCAGCACGTTGCATCCTAATAGGAGAGGGAGTAATGGGATTTAGAAAGCGGAGGAGAAGTAGTCTTCAGGATTTTGTTTCTCTTTTACTGTTTTCCATGGTTAGTAATTGAATGCCAACAAAAGTTGATTCTAAAACTGTTAATAGCTGATGAATATCAGTAAGTGTTTTCCAAGTATCAAAGCCATTATTTTGCTGTTTTGCAGGTGGCTGCATGCACATGAAATGTCCTCGACCTCAGTGCAGGTTTGAGTGGTGCTGGAACTGTGGCCTGGAGTGGAACAGAACCTGCATGGGCAATCACTGGTTTGACTGATAGCACAGTGGCCCAGGCACTAGCTGGCATTGCTGCTGCGGCTGGCTTTCATCAGGGTCACATTCTGAACTCCTTGCTTAAACAAAATTCCCAGTGGTTTCAGAGATGTTCAGAAGTTAGCTCAGTTTGGTTTTTTTTTTCTTGCTTGCCTACTAAACTCACACTGAAGGTATGCCAAGGGTTTTAAATCCACTAAGTAAAAAGAGAAATTGTTTTAATGACTTACTCATTGTGGTAAAAGAGGGATAACTTTCACCTTTCTGAATATCTGCAGCCTGTCAGCACAGAGAGAGACAGGTTTACTGTGAGGAACTCGCTTGATATTTCTAGTCAGAAATCCCTAACTCCTGCAAGAGAGCAGCAGGTGCTTGTGTGTATCAGGGACTATGGTGGAGAGTCCCAGCACCAACTCCTTTGCTCAGTCAGTACAATTTTTGTTTTAAGACCGTAATTCTTAACAGCTTAATAGCTTTTTAGCAGATGAAAGACACTGGCTGTTCATTGTTTACTCAGGGTTCCTTCTGAACAGGTTTACTGTAAGGTTCTTGCTTTCAAACCAAATTCTCATAGAAATAGCCAGCTTTATGCCAGTTTTGTGCTTGTGTATTTGTAACACACAGCATGAAATCTGCCTATATCACACAGACTATGTTACCTCTCATAGATTGAGCTCTAACCACGAGTGTTACAGTGGTGATTGGATATGATTAAGTGGTGCAGAAGCTAGACTCCTAGGGTTTCATTTTTCTTGTGCTTACAGCTATACTTTGGATGTAGCAAGGGGAAGCAGGAGGAGCCTTCTTGGGGATTCCCTTCGTTATCAATCTAAATTGAATCAGAATATGGTTATATTTCTGAAAATGTATTCACAGCTCAAACAATGAGGAACTTCTTTGATTTTACAATGTTTACACAATAAGTAAAGCTTTATAGCATTTTCAAACGTGAACAATCTTACTGTTTCATGTCCTTTACATTGCTGTCCTAATCTAAAATGAAATGGGTACTGCTCATCTCAACGTGTCAGGTAAGGATTTCTTACAATTCATTTTGAGAAAAAGCACACAGTAAATAAAGGTGTCAAAATTGACTTCATTTCTTATGTATTTATTTATTTTTACACAATGTGAGTACAAAGATGCTGGGTGTAATGGATAATGCATTTCCTTGACAGATTAAACTCAGCTGATTCCCAGCTGAGAGACTAGCCCTTTGATTAAAGCATACTCTTAGAAGAAAATAAATTCCAGGGCCATGAACCTTTTTGTGTCAAGTCTGAATTAACAGCTTGTGTGGTGAGACTGTAGACTTCTGAAAATATGGGTGTGCCTTGTATTAGTCAGTTCAGAGCAACAATCTTGAAGTACAAAGAAATCCCAGACTCTACAAGAATGCCCAACTGCTAAAAGCAGTGAAGTACTCATCTGTCTCAGCTGGAAATCACCTTAAAAGACTGAGAAAAAAAAAAATGCGGGTAAAGGGGTGAGGTACCAAAAATGAGAGTGAACTGATGTAATTAAGAAAATGCTGTGAGAAAGAGAGAAAGAAAGTGGAAAAGAGAGCACAGTGGTCACCTGGTAAAGGCTGTTTTCCTTTTTAGTACCAGTGAACTAAAATGTGTGCAGAAATGGTTTCATTAGCACATAGGAGTGCAATAGAATGATGTGATGTAGTTAATTTAAGTACATTATCTTAATGAGGATATTTTACTGTTAGCTCTGATGATTTCCTTATTTGATTTCCTTCACCTGGGTCTATTTTCTCATTTTATAGCTTTTTACTAACAGGCTTGGGAAAAATCTCCATGAATAATTTTACTTTTATATTAAGTTACATGGGAGAAGACTGGATCTCTTTCCCATTTTTGCTTAATGCGTTTCTTACAGAGATAGAAAAACTTGTCTACTGGAAGACATTTTCACTGAGTTAGAGCTATCCATAACAAGTTAATATTTTAATGTAGATACCTATAACACAAGTTCCTGGATCAAGGTCCATTGAAGTCAAGAGACCATATAGATCAGATTCTGTATTTCTTTCTGGTCTGGGCAGGGCATGACTGAGCATGAGTCATAAGGCTACAACAGAAAGATCTCCTTCTTGGGAAGAATTCATCAGAAGATGGGATTGTGAACATTTATCAAAGACATAAGCAAGGGCAAGAAAGGAGAATAAAGGAGTTCAGAATAAAGGCATTGACTCAGTATTATTCACTTTTAGAGTGTGACTTTATAGCCCCTTGCCACGTAAGACTTCTTCACACAGTCCAGATTCTCAGTTTGCAACCATATGACACCCACTTGCCAAAAAAAAAGTGTGGCTTCTGCAGATTTTGGTAGAACACATCCTGATCTTCTCTGTATTAATATATATATCTGTATCTGTATACACAGTTTGAGATGGTACAGCCATCTGTACCTCACTTCTGTTTACAGTAAGATTAATTTTCATGGTTTTTACAAGGTAGATGGCATGAAAAAAATAAGATTAATGCTCTGCTGACACAGTAAGAATGCTAGAATGCCTACAGAAATGTGTGAAGTGGACCTAAAATTTCCTATGCTTCTTTCTTCTTTTTTATTCTGTATGGAAAAATACTTTTAAAGAATGTAAAACATTTTATTTAAAACTTATTGAAACTGTGATTTAAACCAAAGTGAAACAGAACAAACCAAGTCTTGAGTGTCTCTGCAGTCTGTTACTCTAATTTCAGCTTTGAGCAGAAAGGGTGGGATTACTCACATCCAGCTTTAGCTGTCAGTTGTTTTATTAGCCTCAGAGGTTTAGATATAGATCTGCTGTGTATGTGGATGGGGGTCATAGTAAGTTTCAAGCACATTTGGTCATGGCAGAGGTGTGATGGAAAAGTTCCTGCCAAGGACTGAGTGCAGCTTCAGATGCACAAACAGGACTGTGGGTATCCCCCATGTTCTGTCATTATTACAGAGGAGTGGGGAGGTGGAGGGACCCTTTTCTTAAAACTTACAAACTGTCATTTTTTTTTGCCAGTATTCATTTGCCTGGTAAATGCTCCCTTTGACTGGGCATTCATGCCTCTGGAAGTACTACTGTCAGCCACAGGGTGAAGAAGGGAAACAGGACTCAAGCACAAAGCAAGAGGCAGACTGAGGGCATAAGCAGATGCAGAAGTTTCAAGAGCTTGTGCTAGCAATGCACTCTGGAAACACTAAAATTTAATGTTGAAAGAAGATGATTCATTACAGTAATATAAAGCAAAAAAAGAAGTCTGCATCTTTTCTCAGTTTGCCTTTGCTAATTGAAGTCACTTCACCTCAAACCTTCTTCATCTTCTGGATTAATACAATTAGAGACTTGTTCCTGATACTGCAACCTGAGCTCCATTTAATGTGTGTTAAATGGATTAAGTACGGAATATACGCTGAAATATTCAATTATAATTATCTCTGTAATAATTCAGCTCTATAACAATACAGAAAATGTCTAATATTCAGTTCCAGCTGGCAGTGAAATCTGAAGACTGAGTAGATTAAGAAGAAAATATGTAACATCTTGGTTCCCTAAGGACAAAGCATATCTCAAAACTTAGCGTAAATAATATTTTAGGAGCCATGACGACTAAAATATGTTTTGTATGCCTGCCCTTACCTTTTTGCCAACTACAATCCAATTAATTTCATTTTAAAATGTAAACTTCAGAAGAAAGATTATACCACTATTGTAAAAGTCACACTCTCAAAGGACAGTTAAGTATTGAGTTTTGCCTTGTACATATGAATAACCTACAAAGCAATGGAGAGTTGTGGTCTGACTCTTTAAAATGGGATTTTGTTCCCAAGCAGCAAAATTCACATGCTTCTTTCAGTTCCTCCTCAAGCAACAGCAAAGACTAAAAAAGAAAGCTCTGGACCAAGGCAGCCAACAAAAGGAAACCTTGTGTCTGCTTGTCCTGGCAGTCCTTCAGCAATTTCACCCATTTTTAAATCACTCCCATTTTTAAGAAGAATAGAAACAATGACCCATGGAACTACCAACCTGTCGTTCTCAACTCTGTGCTGGGGAAGGTCATGGAACTGATCCTCCTGGAAGCTGTGCTAAGGCACATGAAAGAGAGGGAGGTGATACTTGGCAACCAACATGGCTTCACCACGGGCAAGTCCTTCCTGGAAAACCTAGTGGATCGTAACACCTTGGAAGTATATCGTTTTGATGGGTGGACTGTTCAGTGGATGAGGAACTGGTTGCAAGATCGTACCCAGAGAGTGATGGTCAATGGCTCAGTGTCCAGATGAAAATGGTGACAAGTGGTGACCCTCAAGGGTCAGTACTAGGTCTTGTGCTCTTTAATATCTTCACCAATGAGATTGGCGCTCTGGTCAGGTGCACCTGAAGCCTTGGCAAGTTTGCAGATGGCACCAAACTGTGATGTGGTTGACACACCTGAAGGATGGGATGCATCCTGAGAGACCTAGACAGGCTTGAGCAGTGGGCAGTCTTGAAACCCGTAGCTGTAGGGTGTGGTCAGCACTCTCAAAGGACATCATCCAAAGAGATCTAGGCAGACTGAGCATTGGGTGCAGGAGAACCTCATGAGACTCAACAAATCCAAGTGCAAGGTCTAGTGCCTGGTTCAAGGCAACTGCCACTGTCAGCACAAGCTGGGGGATGAAAGGACTGAGCATAGCTCTGCCAGAAAGGACTTGGGAGGTACGGGTGGATGGGAAACTGGACACGAGCCAGCAATGTGCCATCACAGCCCTGAAAGCCAACCAGACCCTAGGCTGCGTCAAAAGAAGTGTGTCTAGCAGAGTGAGGAAGGTGATCCTCTACTCTGCGCTGTTGAGGCCTCACCTGGAGTAATGCATCCAGATGTGGAGACCTCAGTACAGGAGAGGTGTGGACCTGTTGGAGCATGTCTAGAGGAGTGCCACAAAAATCGGCCAAGGAATGGAACATCTCCGCTACAAGGAAAGGCTGAGAAAGCTGGGGCTGTTCAGCCTGGAGAACACTCCGTGGGGGTACCTAATAGTGGCCTTTCAGTATCTAAAGAAGGGCTGTAAGAAAGAAGGGGACAGACTTTTCAGCAGGGTCCGTGGTGATAGGACGAGGGGAAATGGTTTCAAACTTAAAGAGAATAGCTTTAGGCTGGATAGAAGGAAAAAGTCTTTTAGAGTGAGGGTAGTGAGGCACTGGGACAGGTTGCCCAAAGAAGTGGTGAAAGCCCTTTCCCTGGAGACACTCAAGGTCAGGCTGGACCACACTCTGAGCAACCTGATCAAGCTGTGCATGTCCCCATTCACTGCAGGGCAGTTGGACTAGATGACCTTTAAAGGTCCCTTCCAACTCTAAGGATTCTATGATTCTATTTTTAAATTCTTTTATCAAACAGAAAGCACAGCTGCATATTCTTCTCTGTTCAGAGCCCTGTGTTTAGGCAGTGTGTCAAAATGCATACAGTTATGTGCCATCACTTGAGCCAGCACTGCACTGCACTGCCCTCCCCGTGCCCTGCTTTCAGTTGACACAGAGTTAATAGCGCACTGACAGTTTGCTTATTGCTGAGCAATGGCCACCACCTTTACAGCTCAGGATGGGGTGGGTCTCATTGCCAGCCAGACCAGGCTGCATGTTGGCCACGGGCCACAGATTGGATATGCCTGGTCTAGGAGTTACAAAAGTACA